ACTCAGACATTTTAGGCGAATTTGGCAGATCATTCCAACCAATTGGTCCAGACACAGTGATATTTCTTGACCTAATCAGCAGATCAGTAGATAGCACCAAAAGTAAGATGCTGTAATCGGATTTCAACTTTATATCAGTTGAAAAAGCTGGTTTCTTTGTTAATTTATTTGCAAAATATTCTGGCCATTTATAGCTTTGCACATCGTTATGCAGATCTTATGGATGATTCTTTTTTTACTCTGAGCGAATGCAGATCCTTCAAGATTGGTCCATCAATTGGTCAAAATTTTCTACCATCAAAACAATTTTTGCAGCTGTTTTGAATCGACTGGAAAATAGACAATCTCTAATATAATCTCGAATGTACGAATGCTTGTATTAATGTCTGTATTGTAGAATAATGTAGAGACTTTCGAATGCGATATAACTGGCAAAGCTGAAAAGAACATGATTTAGATAAAATCTTTATATGATTATTGAACGTCAAATTGGAATTTAAAATAAACTCAAATTAGCTGCTGTTTGACAAAATTCTATTTCACTACTTCCAATTTTGATGGAATTAATATTAATTTTTGACAGTTGTTGCCATGTACATAAAGATGGAAATTGATATTGTATTAATTAATTAATTAATGATTAATTAAAAATATACAAAAATAAAATAATAAACTACAACAACTTAATAATCCAAACACTGATATCATCTTCTATTATAGGAGCCATATGAACACCAACTACAAAACAGACAAATCTGTCTTAAAACAAATCACTTATAAAAATGTCAAACTTACAAACCCTACCGACAAAATAAAACTACAAATTTATTATAGCAATGCAAAGCCATCAAACCTTGTCATGAACAACAATGTTCGGCTTTAAAACGTAGCTTTAAATGTCAGAATGTTTCATATATCGGAGTAACAACAACATCGCTAACCAGACGTCTGACCATGCACAAAAAAAAGGTTCTATAAGAAACACACAAACATAATATTGAAATTACAAGAAAAAACCTAGACAACAACACCAAAATAATCTACAGTAATTCCAACCATTCCCATCTAAAATTAGCCGAAGCCATTCTCGTAGACATGAAACAACCCTGATAAACAAACAACAAAAGATTTCAAAAATTTTGACAAGAAGGATAATAATAAAATACATTAATAATACTAATGGGATCGAGGAAGACACTGAAAAAAGTAACATCGATAAAGTGCTATAAAAATCCAAATAAATGACAGCAATAAAATTAGTACAATAAAACATAACATCTATGTAATTAACAAAATAAAACATAACACCAAAGCAATAAAACATAACACCAAAGTTATTAACCCGAACAAAGAAACCATAAGCAATTAGTAAAGAAGAGAGTAAAATTAACAAAGTAAATGATAACAATGAATACAAATCACAAAAACAAAAGCCTAGGTCATGGATATAATGGATATGGCATAATAATTGTTACCTGCCTAATAATTTTGCTTGGTTCTATGGAATTAAACGCGTAAACATTAAACATTTTTTCGTAGTAATTGACATTTTACTGATATTTTATGATCAAACGTCTCACTATAGACAAATATTTTAATTAAATGTCAATAAATTGACAAAAAAAGCAACTAGAACAATAATCGCTAAACACCCGGCTAAAAACTGAGTGATACTTTAATTTAAATTCACTTTTCAACAAATATTTGTTAGATTGACCTGGATATGTATATGGCAGACGCGTTATATATATTAATTATGGTTTTTACCAGCATTCACCAATATATATATATATATATATATATATATATATATATATATATATATATATATATATATATATATATATATATATATGCAGTAATTTATGAAATTTACAGAATTTCTAG